GAAGATGTCCGGACTTCAACTCCCAGAATTCCCCAGCCAGCATTCGCGAATGCTGGCTGGGGAATTCTGGGAGTTGAAGTCCGGACATCTTCAGGTTGCCAAGGTTGGGAAACACTGCTCTATCCATCCACTTGCAACCTTTCCTGACAGCTTCCGCATTGACCCTCAAGAAAAGCTGGAGAGAAGATGGCAAATGGCAATCACACAATCGCAGGGCACTTAATAACTGGTGTAAAAGCAAACTGGTTACCACTCACCTGAAATGCAGTCATGTGACTGTCAGGGAGGGGCAACATTTTACGATGTCTAGAAGTAAACACTTTTTCTAAAGCTGTTGTAACTTTAAATGTTAAACAACCAGTTGTAAGCTGAGGATTATCTGCAGAGTTTTAAAAAAATCAACAGTACAGAATTGGCTTTTCCATTGTTGCCTTTTGATGTGTGTTTTTTTTTAATTCCCAAACTATACTAACAACGTTATATTAATCATATTAGATATGATTAGTATACTAAATATCAAGGGACATGATGGCACAGTGGTTAAAATGCACTATTGCAGGCTAATTCTTCTGACTGCTGATTGCGAGCAGTTCAATTCTTACTGGCTCAAGGTTGACTCAGCCTTCCATCTTTCTGAGGTTGGTAAAATGAGGACCGAGGAGCAATTTGTTGACTCTGAAAACTGCTTAGAGAGGGCTGTAAAGCACTGTGACACGGTATATAAGTCCAAGTGCTAAGTGCTATTTGACCCTGTTAACTTCACATGATAAACGTACTCTTAAATCACCTCCAGTAAATTCTGCAGTACACAATTGGTGTAAAAAGACTCAACCAGTTTAAGTATAGGCTCTATGCAATGGTCATTCTCACTTAAGAATTTTTAGCCTTCTGTAAGAGTTTCTTTACCTGACTGACTGAGTCTTCACTACTTTGTTTCATACATTCCTCCAGCTCCTGCTTCTCCCGTATTGTTTTCTCTAGTTGATCGTTGGCCTGCCTCAACATCACCTGAAGTTTCTTCACCTATGGGGTTAGAAACAATACACCATAAACATTCCTTTTCTAAATAAGGTTAATTTTTCTCCAAGACAAAATCTATGCTTATAATTTAGAAACAAGGTGGAATAGATAAAGAAACCATAAAAATGAGAGTTTCACTACCATCCATGTCCTCTTTGCTTAACGATATAACCTTTTCTAACATCACAGCCATCTGATTCTTTGACCCCAGAACAAAATGTTATTACAGAATTCTGAATTCTTGATCTTAAAAGGATAGAAAGTCTTTTGTTGTGTTTGATTATGTTCATTAAAATGCACGATTTCCTCTTTTAGCATTAATGGAAATACCGTACAATTTGCTTTTATTCTCTGAAACATAAATGTTCATAACAGAATATAGAATCAAGTACCTTATCCAAATGTTTATGAAGAGACTAAATTTAAAAGCTCTATTAAATATAGTTTATACTTTAATAAGACCACTAGAGATTTAAAAAATTGAAACTATTTTGTTTCTCCGCTGGAGCGTTTATGCACAGGATCAGGTACTATTCCTCCAACCTCTGACTTGTACATAGATTTGAGTGTGAATAAGAGGCTGAACCAGTGGTGGGATTCAAATAATTTAACAACTGGTTCTCTGTCCTAATGATTTATTCCAACAACCAGTTCACCAAACTGCTTAGAAAGTTAACAACCAGTTCTCCTGAAGTGGTGCAAACTGGCTGAATCCCACCATTGGCTGAACTGAGTTGAAAGCAAACAAAAGAACACTTCCCCAAAATTAGGAGCCCTCATTTCTCATGAAAATAAGAACAAAATTGCTATCAGGCCTTAACAGAGGTGGGTGGAAATGGGATGCGTTTCCTCCTGCTCTGGTGTCATTGCTGTGATTGCTTTTTCCTGGTCTTTGGTTAGCATAAAACCACCAGGCATTTGCAGGGAGCCCAGGGGGGCATGAACTGTGCATGAAATTAAGCATAATGATATAACTGGGAAATCATCATGTGTACAATCAGTCTGTGCAGTGATTCAGTCTAACTCAATCAATTTCAAAAACCAACTCTGATCTTAAAAACAAGCCCGAAATCTTTAACAAATGAACTCCAAATCCAACTCATTAATACTAATTGACCATTCAATTAAGTACTGTTTGAACAATCTGAACTGTGGTGGATAAACAGCAGATGAATTTTATTGCAAAAGTCAGGACAGAAGCAATATTTATATTAAGTTGCTTCACAGGGATTCAGGGGTGAATCTGCCTCCAATTTATCTCTTACTCCTGTATAATAAGTAATGCTGAACTAATTGATCGCTGAATTAACATAAGCAGTAAATTTGCACAAGCAGCATTGATTTATGTATACAGTAGAAAGCAGGAAAATTCATAATGTAGCAAAAGAGGCTAAGAGCTAGCAACGTTGTTTCTATCCACTGCTTAACTTTGTCTTAAGGCCCAGCAGCCTTTTGACATGAATAGCAATAGGCACCTCAGAGAGGTCTCTACCTCAGTTGAACACACTGAGTTGGCTATTCTTGGATTAGGCATTAATATCATCATGAATAGGGACACGGTGGCTCAGTGGCTAAGGAGCTGAACTGGTCGATCAGAAAGGTCAGCAGTTCAGTGGTTCAAATCCCTAGCGCCGTGTAATGGAATGAGCTCCCATTACTTGTCCCACCTCATGCCAACCTACCAGTTCGAAAGCATGTAAAAATGCAAGTAGAAAAAATAGGAACCACCGTTGGTGGCAAGCTAACAGCATTCTGTGCTCCTTCAGCATTTAGTCATGCCAGCCACATGATCACGGAGACGTCTTTGGACAGCACTGGCTCTTTGGCTTTAAAATGGAGATGACCACCGCCCCCTAGAGTCAAGAACGACTAGCACATATGTGCGAGGGGAACCTTTACTTTTACCTTTATCAGCATAAATATTACTGAGAATGAGTTCAAAGGCTAGCTCCCATAGGGCAAAGGTGTTGGAACTGGAGAATCTGCTGAGAGTTTTCTCTCCCCCATTGTTTATTCTTATCATTCTTATTCATATTAGATGGTTTCCCTATAAATGTCTCATTTATTAGAGTTGTAAGTTTTTTCATACACTCCATTGGCCAAATTAGTGAGTTTTAAATATGTTGGATCCCAAGAAGTCAAGTCACAACATACAAAACTGGAATAGTAACTGAAAAGGAACAACATCTGGGGTTCAGAGTCTCCTTCTCATTTTACACTAAGTCTCCTTCTCATGTTACACTAAAACCTTTAATAGGATGAAAGATTAATGGGTTGATCAATGAACATGAGTTGCCTTTGTGATTTTTACTGCATTTCATTTTATTAATATGACATAAATTGCCCTGAGTTATGAAAGGATAAGGTAGTATTGGTGCTGTAATTAGTAACTAAATAGGCCTAAGTGAAAGATGACTTGTTTGATTTCTCATTGCCTCTTGGAATCATTTCACTTTCTGCGTGATGAGAGGCCAAGCTGCACTCACCTGATCCCTTGTTTCAGCCTCCTGAATCTGGATGCCTTGCAACTGCTTTTCATAATTTGAACACATGTCACAGCGCCTTCCCAGCTTGTTCCCAGCGTTTTGCACCTGGAGAACATAAAACCATTATTTCTCTGCGAAGCTTCATAGAAGAATATGTATAAATCCCACTGAGAGGATGGCTACAATTGTAGCCATTTTGGATAAAAATCAGAAGTTTTCAGGAGAGAGCTATAACACACAAATCATTCTCTGTAAAATAATCCTCAAATGGGAGTTTACAGTATGTACAAACGCCTACCTCTTTCTGAAGGAGATTCCATTCTGTTTCACTAACTAAACGGTAACCACTAGGAGATACATAAGCATTTTCTACACTCTGTGTGATGCTGGAGAGAAGGGATGCGGTTTCCTCCTGCTCTGGTGTCATTGCTGTGATTGCTTTTTCCTGGTCTTTGGTTAGCATAAACCCACCAGGCATTTGCAGGGAGCCCAGGGAGGCAGTTTCAAAGTTCTCTGATATAGAGTCTGCCCCAACCAGTGGCCCAAAGTCAGATTCATCAAGGTTCCCAGCTGATTTGGCTTTATTGTTGTAGCCCAAACTTTTGGCTTGTAAAGATCCCGACGTTCCCAAACTGTCTGTTGACTGAGCTCTACGCAGTCCCTCTTTAAACATGTCATTGTCCGACTTGAGAGACTCTCCTGAAGACAGCAATGCATCTGTGTCAAGCGAGTGGGCTGAACCATGAGTGCTGTTGAGGTGCACCTATAATTGAAACAGAAAAACTGTCCAACAATAAAAACTCCCTTATATCCAGCCAAATCATTGCTCCACCAACCCACTCCTGGGTTATATGCCAAAATATAGGATGAGTTATGGACTCCACCCCCCCTCATTTATTTCCAAAATGAAATCTTCCTCCAATTCCCCCTTCAATGGAGTTTTCATGATTCATAAAATTTCTGTTTTGATGCATGCTATCTCTTCATAGCTTATTTTCATCCAGATTAGGAGTTGTTTCTTATTCAGAAATCAACAGACAGTTTGTCAGCCCCTCCTCTTGCTCTGGAATGGGCTGTGCTCTTAAAGAAACAGCGTCTTTAAGTTGTTTAAGTTGTTCTACTGCTCTGAATGGACCAGTAGTGGAGAATATGGCCAGAGATGCATTTGCTTAGCTACAGCCATTTGGGGAGCAGGAAGCAATTCATATTCTCTTCACATCAAACAGGTTACTGAACTATGCTCTATTTACAGCTGTCCTTGAAGACCACACAAATGCTGCAACTAGTACAGAATGTGGCAGAGTGCATTCTAATGAGGAATATCTGATTCAACTATATGGCCTCTGCATTGGAAATACTACATTAATTTTTCTAAATACAATTTAGGTGCTGATAGTGACCTATAAAGCTCTATACCGTGTTTCCCCAAAAATAAGACAGGGTCTTATTTTCGTTTGGCTCCTGAAATAAGCATTTGGCCTTATTTTCGGGGAGGTCTTATTGGTTTTAAGGCGCAGGAAGCGATGAGCATGGTCACCTCATGACTGCTGCTGTGTTGCGCGTCGCTGGACCTGCCACTCTTTTTGTGGCAGCCATTAGCGTGACAGAAGGGGCGCGGTGGTTAGGGTTGCAGGAACATCCATTAAGTAAGGGCATGTGGGGTGCATGGGGCATGTTCCCCCCTCCCCTTCCCCCCTCCAGCCACACCTCCTCACCTCATGTTGTTTGCATGGCAAGCAACCAGAGGAAATGGCGGGGACTGGCTGCGCATGCGTTTAAATATTTTTGGGGAGGGCTTATTTTCGGGGGAAGCATTTATTTTAGCGCATGTGCTCAAAAGTCCGATTGGACTTATTATCCAGGATGGTCCTATTTTGGGGGATATAGGGTAGGGCTTAGGCTCCAGGTACCATCAGGATTCCTTCCTCCAAATAGAACCTGCCCATCCTGTTTGTAGCTCATGACAATCTTTACTTTGGAAATAAAGCTTAAGATAAATATTTTGAGGAAGGAAGGACACAATAAAATTCTCATTGGGAATTTATTGTGAAAGAACTGGAACATCTGTCTTCTATTTCAGGTTTATTTGGAACAGTTTCCCAAATACATAGTTATCAAGCATCACTGATTAAACTATTTGTAAGAAAACAGAATCCCTTGCCAAAATCTTAAGCAAAGTCATATAACTTCTTCCCCTCTTTTTAAAATCATACTTAAAACATCTCAAATTATTTCATACTTATTGTTCCTTGATTAAAAGCTAGCTTTTGAACCGTGTTTTATCATGAATTGACAATAATCTAAATTTCAAGTCAGGCTACACATTTGTAGGAGATGGTGAGAAAACTCACACAATGGATCAATTGCCCCACAATAAGTAATTTTAGGCATTGGTGCAAAAAAAAAAGAAGAAGAAGAAGGAAGATTTTGCTTTCCGCTGACAATTCCAGGGCTCGAATAAACCCAGCTCTTTTTGGTACAGAAGTCAAAAGTGAAATACAATCTCCCCCGACTCTATCTCTCAAACCGTTCCATAAAGAATTCATTGAAGAGGGACTTTTGGACCTAGTCACACAATGTGCTTAACCTGGTTATTAAATTAACTATTGTCAGTTTGTACAATATACTGTACAATAAATGGGTTGGTTCACATAATACATTAAGAAAAAAAGAAAGAAGAAGAAGGAGCATTCCCAGTGAAGACAGTGCTGTTATAGTAACTAAGTTTACCTCTTCACCAGGGAATGGTGGAAGGGCTTCTTCATGAATTGTAGAACATGTTACATTTGATTCATCATCAGTGCCTTTCTCCTTCTCTTCTTTCCTTTTATGAAGTCTTCTTTGCTCTTCATCCTCCTAAGACAAAAGTTGAAAATAAAAGTGGTTTTTATTCATCTGCAAGATAGAAAATGCTCCTTTTATTCCCTCACCCCCCACCCCACATACCAACAACTGCAGATTAATACAAATCATTCTTAAAAACCAAGATTGCAATATCATTATCTTTTAGTATAATTAACATTTCACTATATCTAATTTATGTTGGCTTCTTTATGCAAAATGCTGGATATTAATAATGCAAACATCAAAAGCCCATATGTAAGTACGGTAGTACTGAATGTAGACCTTGACTTACAATCATTTTTTAGTGACCATTCGAAGTTAAAATAACAAAGTCAATGGGGTAACTCAGATTCACTTAACAATCACATGGTTCACTTAATGACAGCAGTGATTTGCTTAACAACCATGGCAAAAGAGGTCATAAATCAGGTGCAACTCACTTCCATGTTTTCCTAAAAATAAGACCCAGTCTTATTTTCTTTTGGGCTTGAAAATAAGCACTCGAGCTTATTTTCAGGGGGGTCTTATTTTTTTAAAGTGCAAGAGGCGCCTCTCCGTTCCACTGTCCACTTGCTCATGGCTGCAATGAGCCAAGCTCTCAGCATGCCCCAGCCTCTACCCGCCCTGACTGCTGGTCCAGCTTCTGTTGGGACACTTCTTGGCCGTGGCTCCTCACAAGGGCTCTTTGCCCTCCTGGCAGGGCTGGTAGAGGTCGGGGTGGGCTGAGAGCTTGGCCCAGATTGAGGCCGCAGGCAAGCAGACAGTGGGACGGAGAGGTTGGGGCCAGCGATAGCTGCCCAAACACTTTTCGCCCAGAGGGTGACGAAGCTTTATCTGCTTGCAAAGGGACAGTTTGAAACAGAGCTAATCGCTCAGTTTCAAGCTGTCCTCTTTGCAAGCACATGAAGGGCATTTTGCCACAAGCGGCTCTACCGGCACAACAAGCCTCTCGGCATTCTGCTGTGAGTGGCTCCACCGGCAAGACGCTGAGCCTCGTGGAGTTCTGCTGCGAGCTGCTCCAACAACACAAGCCTCACAGCATTCTGCTGTGAGCGGCTTTACCGGCAACATAAGGTAAGCAAGTGCGGGACATGTAGAGCACCTCCTTCCCCCACCCGCCCGCTAGCTTGATTTTTACACTCACGTCTCGTCCCACCTCATACAGGGCTTATTTTGGGGTAGGGACGCATGTGTAAAAATCAAGGTAGGGCTTTTGGGGGGATAGGTCTTATTTTGGGGGGAACACAGTAGCAGCTGCCTTTGTTAGCAAAAGAAATTCTGGTCTCCATTGTGGTCATAAATTGAGGATTATCTATATAATTCACAATGCACATCCTTCTTTTGTTCATTCTACGTACGCACACCCAACCTCCTAACCTTTATTGCAATGCATGTTAACCCCATCTAGAGATCTGACGTCATGAAGAATATGCCCCCCAAATATTACAGCACTAGAAACAAATGCTCCCCTACATCTATTTACATTTCTCTTCTTCAACCACAAGAAAACTTGGCTACAAATCTCAGTGCTGTATTAGCTAACCTGGTCTTTTTTCTTTAGTTCTTCAACTTGCCGCAGCTGTTCTGAGGTCAGCACCATCTCCATCCATTGCATCTCCCTCATCAATAAACGCTGTGACTCCAAGAACTGGTCATTGGCCTTCTGCCACGTGTGTTTGAGCTGATTATGCTGTTGCCTTTCCTGCTCTAGTAGATGGCATACTATATGAAAACAGACAATGAACTCCATTTGAATTCCAGCAGTTAAGTTTGCTCACAGAGTTTATTGTGATAATATTTTGTACACAACTAGGAGCATACTGAACATCTAACATACATAATTAGGAGCAGAGTAAGCATATTGTTCAAGTATTCCTCATTTAATGTAATGGCTTATAGTTGTTGTATGGACAGCAATTACCAGATACATGAAATAAAAAAAGAATATTAAAAACCAAAGCAGTAAAATAGAAACTATATAGCTAAAAACAACAGCATGAAAATTGATAATAAAGTTTTATATATTTTTAAACAATAAGAAATAATACAGTAACACAATATACTCAATATTCTCAATTTTCACATACTCAATATTTCTATCACAGTGATGGCTAACCTTTTTCCCATCACGTGCCAAAAGCGGAGGGACCGCAGGGGGGGTCGTAATAATTCTATGCATGTAACCCCTCTGCACGTGTGCGTGTGAACACACACCCGCACATGTGCGCGTGACCCCTGGCCTTCCCCCACTTTTGGTGCACAATGGACCCGTTTTTCCGCCCTCCCCAAGCTCCAGAGGTTTTCTCGGAGCCTGGGAAGGGCAAAAACGGCCTCCCTTGCCCCCCCCCCCCCGGAGGCCCTCCAGGGGCTTCAGGAGGCTTCCCTGAAGCCTCCAGAGTGCGAAAAATGGCCCTAGGTGCAAACCGGAAGTCCGTTCCCAAACTTCAGTTTGTGTGTTGGGTTGTTTTTCGCCCTCCGGAGGCTTCAGGGAAAATGAAGGCCGAAGTCAGCTGGCCAGCGCGCACATGTGCGCTGGAGCTGACAAGGCAATGCCTTGCATGCCCTAACAAATGGTTTGCCACAGGTTCGCCATCACGGTTTCTATCCTATCTAAAACAGAGATAAAATGCAGCAAAAGGAATTTTTTAAATTTTCTTTAAGACTCAGAATAACAGCATTGGAAGGGAGCTTGGAAGTCTTCTAGTCCAATCCCCTGCTCAAGCCAGAGACCCTACCATTTCAGACAAATGTCCAATCTATTTTTAAAATTCTCCAGTGATGGAGCATCCACAACTCCTGAAGTCAAGCTGTTCCACTGATTTAATTATTGTCAAAAAAAAAATTCTTTATTTCTAGGTTCTTTCTTTGATTAGTTTCTATCCATTGCTTCTTGTCCTTCCTTCAGGTGCTTTGGAGAATAGGTTGACACCCCCCCCCCTTTTGTGGCAAACCCCTCAAATATTGGAAAACTGACATCATGTTACCCCTACTTTTTGGCACTCTTTCTAGCGAACATCATTTTTATATTATGGTGATTATAAGTGGATGCAATATTCCAACTGTGGTCTTTATTGTTGTTGTTGTTAGTTGCGAAGTCGTGTCCGACCCATCACGACCCCAAGGACAATGTTCCTCCAGGCCTTCCTGTCCTCTACCATTCTCTGGAATCCATTTAAGCTCACACCTACTGCTTTGGTGATTCCATCTAGCTACCTCATTCTCTAGCATCCCCTTCTTCTTTTGCCCTCTATCTTTCCCAGCATTAGGCTCTTCTCCAGTGAGTTTGTTTTTCTGTGGTCTTACCAAGGCATTATAAATAACACACTTATAAGATCACACTTCACATGATCTTGATTCTACCCCTCTATTAATGCAGTCTAGGATTGCAGTGCCTTTTTTGGTGGCTGCAACACACTGCATATTTGATTGTCTAAGACTACCGAATCCTTCTCGCAGTTACTACTATACAGTATGAAGTCAGGTACCACCTATTGTCCTATTCTGTATCTGTGCATTTGGGTTTTTCTGCCTAAGAGTGAAACTGTACTTTTCTCACCATTGAATTTCATTTTGTTAGATAGGACCCAGTATTTTATCGAAATCCTTTTGTATCTTTAGCCTGTTCTGTTGGTTATTTCTGCCAACTTGGTGTCATCTGCAAATCTGATGAGTCCCCCTTCTATCTCATGTAAATCATTTATGAAGATACAGAAGAGTATTGGGTCTAAGAACTTTGAGGTAACCCACTGCATACTTTTCTCCATATAAATGCAGTTCCATTAAGGATACACACTGATAAGAACTACTCTTTGTTGTTATGTTTTCAGCCAATAGAATTTTCCATAGTTTTGAATGCCAAAGAAAATATAGTTTATTTTCTTAACTTGTAGCAACCTCTACAGCAATTGAATTCATATGTTTTGTTGCACCACTAATTTTATGGGGCGTAGTTCATTTTTGATGATTTACTCAAATTGATGTAATAAGAATGTTACATTTTGAAGAGCTCATCTCAAACTCAAATCAAAAGTTCTCTTGACGTAAGACTTTCAAGAGAATGCATATTGAGTTCTTGTGGAAGGAATGGATAAGAAGGAACAACATTAAAGATTTATTTGATGCATAATGCTTTACATCTCCTAAATTATATGGGAATACAATAGGAACTACTATGAATATAAAAGGCATACGTCAGCCAGATAAACTACAGAACAGATTATTTGGAATTACTCAAATAAATAATAAAAAAGTATTTTTAATAACAACTTTATAAGATCCTGCTTTAACACAGGCAAATTAGATGTAAGCCTCAGAAGGATACTGATAGCTAAGAAACAGTATTCCAATTTTATTGTCTGTTCTCAGTACTCAAGAACACATGAAGAACTGAATTTACTACTTGATATTGCTCTTACATAAGCTTACCATATTTCAACAACATTGCTTCTTTATAGGTCTTTATTAACATTGAGTTAATATTCTTTATAATTACAGGTAGTCCTTGACTTATGACCACAATGGAACAGAAAGTGAGATAGCTGTTAAGTGAATGTTCACCATTTTATGACCTTTCTTCCCACAGTTGTTAAGTGAATCCCTTAAGTTTTTTAATTAGTAACACAGTCCCCATTGACTTTGCTTGACAGAAGGTCGCAAAAGGTGATCACATGATCTCAGGATATAGCAACTATCATAAATATGAATCAGTTGTCAAACATCTGAATTTTGATCATGTGACCATAGGGATACAACAATAATTGTAAGTCTCAAAAATGGTCATAAGTCATTTTTTTCAGTGCTGTTGCAACTTTGAACAGTCACTAAATGAATGGTTATAAGTTGAGGACTACCTGTACTATTCTCCAGAAAACGATTTGTTCAGTTGTCAAATAAAGGGCAAGTAAAGTCAAAAAAAGAAAAAAAAACTCCACAAATTACAAAATAGTCCCCTTAATATGCATTACATATTTTAAAAAAATAAAATTTAACTTTATATATATATACTAATTGAATATCAAAGGCTGGATTCTGGTTTGTATGAAGCTTCTTGCCTTCTTTGAATTGTGGACTCCAAGAGTTATTTTTCCAATATGAGAAGACATTACATTGTATTTAGTAGCATATTATGGGCATACAACTTAGCTTGCATGTTTTAAATCATGGGTGTCAAACTGGCGGCCCATGGGCCAGAAGCATCACATGTAGACCACACCCACCCCAGATCCACAAAGGCAAAAAACACCACGTTATGTCATGTGACACCACGAAACGCAATCAAGTGTGACACCCGTGTTCTAAATCTACATTAAACTATTATTTTCATATTTTTAGCCCAGAGAAAAATCCATACCTTCATGAAGTTCTTTCCGTAATTTTTCTGCATCTTCTTGCAGAACTGATTTTTGAGTGTTCAAAACAGCCACATACATTTCTAGATCCGTCCTACAGGATTTCTCAGCTTCCAAGTAGTGATTCAGTTCTTTAACCTGAAAAATATACAGAGAAACAAAAGTTAATGGTTAGAATAGATGTTTATCAAGTATAGTTCTAAGCATGTTAGAAAAAGTTATTAGTCAGGAACTGTTATACTGATATATGTAACAATATATCTAGGTCTTCTATATTACCCATATTGTAGCTTTACAGTGGTGCTTCAATGTTTGTGAACCCTTTTAAAATTTCAATATTTCTGTATAAATACAACATATTCTAAAACATGACCTGTTCTTCACACAAGTCCTAAAACTAAATCAAGAGTACTCAATGAAATAATTGTCAAAAACATTACATTTGTTCATTGATTTGAGGAAAATCATTCAAAAATATGACATCTGTAGTTCTAATTGATTACTAGCCTGGAAAAAGACAAGCGTGGTTTCAAAACTGGAGGAAGAAACATTGATAATTTGCACTACATGGTGACACTTCTCTGATAGCTGAAAAATCAAATTAGTAACAAATATCCATTACTCTACTAATGAATATCAAGAAGAGTGAAAAAATGGAACTGAGATTAAATATGAAACCAAAAATAATGATAACAGGTGGAGCAACCAATTGACAAGGAAATGACACGAAAGATATTGGAATGATGGTTGGTATCTGTCTTCTGGGATCAACCATTAACAGTGAAGAAATCAGCAACCAAGAAATGTGCCAAAGATTAGTATCTGGTAATGTAATATGAAGGCCTCGGAAAAAATATTCCTTGATATGTTGATAGATACAAAGTTCAGAATTACGTCTGGAATTGTTTTCCCTGTGACACTCTATGGAAGTGAATGTCGGATTTTAAAAAATGCAGAAAGAGTATTCATGATTTCAAAGTTGATGTTGGAGAAGACTCTTAGGAATACTATGGATAGCGGGGAAGACGAACAAATGGATTATAGATCAATCCAAGTTCTCACTGGAGACACAAATAAGCAGAAATTATATCTTAGACACACAGTGTACAAAGAAGCTCTTTTGAGAAATATGTGGTGCTGGCAAAGAAAAGAAGAAAACCAGCAGTAAGATAGATGAACTTGAATGCAGTGGTGACAGGTGAAATACTGGACAGCCTAACGGGCCAGTTGGGGCAGATCATCCTACATGATCATTATGACTTGATCGCACATGATAAATCAATGGAAGTTGGTGTCTTATTTTACTACCGATTAATTTCCTATTTTTTTAAAAAATAAAAATGTTGCTAAAAGAACTTTTAGCTCATACTTTAGACTCTTAGATGACTATCACAAATTATATAAAGGCCTTATATAGAAGTATAATAATAATAATGTATAATTAAGACAAGAGAGTATTTTAAGATGACAGCTGTTTGCTTCACTGGTATCTTCTGCTTCAGTTTCATAAGTTAATAGCATGCAAAGAACTGTGTGAATAGGATCATGAAACATCTTCACCACAGTATTTGTGGAAAGGTCAACTTTACAGTTAGAAAGATAATGAATACTGCTTCTTTATCTGATAATATTCACTTGCTAAACAAGTTCTTCTATAATCCTCTGCTGAAAGCAAATATTAAAAGTTATTAAGAACAAAGGAATGATGTACCTAGGATACCTTGAATATTAAACAGCAGAACTGCTATTAGTTTATTAGGAAGAAGATGCTATAAGAAATAAAACCTGTTACAAAACACCGCTTAAAGGCAATAATTTTCCCTATTCATGTAATATGCAAAATTCCAAGGGAATATTGCAATATGTTGATAAAAAGCAGAGGGAGAAAGAAAGAATTTAAAATTTTCTCAAACCATGGTGTATTCTTTAAATGCCATATATACTTAGCTTATCAGGATTTAATGTGAGGCCCAGATATTCAAAACTTCACTGAGTTTTAATGTTTTCTAGTAAACATATGTTTTGTTAATAAATTCAAAATGCATTCAAAAAGATATAGATGAAACAAAGCTACAGTTCTGAGTTTTGAAGAAAGCAATGATGCCATGGCATGGGCAGGGTTGAAGGAGAAAAAAGGATACAGAGGTAATTGTATTTTTAAATATATTTATAATGCTTAGTGACAATACTTTGCTCACAGAAATCTCCTATGGTGTCACCATGTTTCCTGTCCAAAAATGCCATGCTGCAAAGAAACAATATATAGTATTGTTAGATCGGTAATTATTATACTCTTCCTCAGCACATATTGATAGTATTTTGTTTTGCTGACCTCTGAAGCTTCCAGCTCTTTTATTCTTTCTTCAGCTTCAGTCAGTTTATTCTTTAAAGTTGCAATCTCCTTCTCCATGGGCATCACTACTGAACGAAGTTTTTCTGCATCTTCTTGAGCCTGAAATCAACATTAAATGATACAATAAATCCATTTGTGAGGTGATTTCAGTCATCAGTCTATTGACTGAATGCTAACAGAATCTCAGTACTGTATCAGTTTTAGGCAACAGATATCTTGTGTGCTGAATGTATAAAAGACATGCTGACACACACTGACAATTTCAAAGCTACTTAGGTTCAATTAGAACAGATTGTTCCACTTACTTACAATTGGTGTTTCAATAAAATACTATCCATACATTCCCAAAAACTCAAAAGGAAATTTCCACATTTTTAAGGATTCCAATAGTATATAAATCTTTAAAATATTTAGGTATCACTAATACTAAAGTATTATTAAAATCTTTACAAATAATTATATACCAATATGAAAGAAATTAAACAAAGAAATGAAAAACTGGGCTTTAAAAAATTTCAATATTTTTGGACAATTTTCCATGATAAAAATTAAAAATTCTTGCATGGCATAACTTTTTTTCAATGCCTCCCAGTGGTATTTTCAGATCAGCCTTTAAGACATTGACAAAATAATTAAATAAATAAATAAAATATATTTTGCTTTTATGCACAAAAAATGAGATTAAATAAAAGGGCTTTATATAGAGCTCAAGGCTTAGAAACAATGAGGCTAAGATCAGCCCAATTTGTTAATATACTATCAAGTGGCATATAGTTCCATCTTTTTTGAAACACTGGCTAGAGACTTTTGGGAGTTGAACCCACCCAAGTTGCCAAGGTTGAGAAACTCTGCTCTGTCCTGACTAACCTTCTTCATTTCATTCTCCAAGTTTTCCTCTTCTTGACCTTCTAAAAGTCGCCTTCTCAGCTCTGCTATTTCCCGTTCAACATTCTCTCGATATTGATTCCACTGAGACCGCTCTTGTTCCAACCTGTGATGAAACTGGCCTTCATATTCACGGACAGTTTCTGAATAATAATAATAATAATAATAATAATAATAATAATAATAATAATAATAATAATAATAATAATAAT